AAGTCTCACGTGTCTAACAGCGAGCCGTGGAGCGAGGTTGTGGTTACTTTTGTCAAACTAAAGGTACAAAAGTATATCAAAAAATAAAAAATATATAATAGTTTTTTGAGGAATACTTTTTAATTGTGATAGAGATTTAAGAACTATATTTATGCTAAGAAATTTAAAGAATTTATATCTTCCAATATTTAAAATTTCCAAAAACAAAAATGGTGAAACTGTTTTCAAAAATTGTGACATCATTATTAGTTTTAGAACAGAAGACTCATCAGAATTGTTTATTAATTATCGAATATCAGAAGCCAACACCTCCTATTTTTGTCATACTCGTACACGTTTTCTAAGAAACTATATTAAAAGTATTTCATCCCAACATTATCCTAACTATCTCTCAATAGGAATGGTTTCTGTAAGACGATGGTTAAAACATCAAATTTCACATCATTATTCAAAACTTTTCTCTTTATAAGTTCCAAACTCTAAACTTGATGTGGACAAGATAATATTCTTGCAAGTCATAGGTATAATGTGTTTTTGTTCGACATTAAATATTCCAGGCGTCCTATCTCCATCAATTACAATATGTATACATATAGGAGGTACTTACGAGTATAATACTATCTTCTTGTAAAGTCGTCATCTCAGTTTTTGATGATTGCTTTGAACTTATCATCACACCGCTTGTACTCCCATCAACAGAATGAAAACAACTCACGTACTGTGTTATTACTTCCATTCAAATGTGTTTTTTATTACCTACTACCATATAATAGCCCACATACGGGTGCTCTGATATCTCGGTTTCCAGGCTTCGGATTGCAGAAACCTTCTTTAATAAAATTCCATTAAGTAATGTTTCTTTATCATTTTTGTGCCAACGAAAAATAATTGCTGGGTTTGTCTCTCGTTGACATTTCCTCTCAGAGAATACAGGCGACACAAATATTTTCTAAAACAATATGTTTTTTAATACTTAGTCAAATTTTAATCGTCGTCATTCAGTCAGACAGTCCGTCCCACTCGTGTCACTCGCTCCAATGTTTCCTTGTTCATGAGTGTTGTCAATACAACTTGTTGTGATTATGTATTTTCAAGTAAACAATAACTTCGCACCATTTTATCATACTTTTATTGACTATCTGTGAATCCATAATGAGATCTAAGACTTTCGCCAGTATTCATTGAAATAAAACTAATATTATTAGGATTCCTACGCGTGTTTTTTTTTAACTACATACTCCCGACGTTTCGGTTGCTTTTTATCAACCGTGATCACGGGGTGACGAGATGTGAATGTCTGTCAGTTGGTCTTGTTATTAGTCATATATCGTCAACGATTTCTTAATTCAAGTAAGTGTAGAATAGACTAATGTAGTTTTTTAAAATAATAAAAGACACGTAGTAATCCGAATAATATTAGTTCCGCTTATCTCTGAATCCAATTTAAAATAATAGTAATTTTCAAATTATTTTACATGTATTTCGTTTACACTTTAAAAATATTTCTTTAAGCTACACATATTCAAGCGCCTTAGCATATCTTTTCGCGTTGGTTATAAAGAATAAATATTACATAATGTAGGTATGTATTTATATGTAAACAGCCCGAGCTAGAGTGTCGGTTGTGTTCAGTGTCGTGTGTGTTAATCATTGTTTGAAGTGTGATCCGCTGTTGAAAGATAAGCTGTTTAATGTTGATGTTAAGAAGCTTATCTCAACATCTGTGTCTTAACGTCACATCAATAACCACCGCCGCACCGCACACTCACTCACATAGTATTATGATAATTTGGATTTCATTGGATTAGCGGTTCGTATTTACATAAGTTCATAAGAAAAGCGTACAGTTTTCCTCACTGACTTAAATACTGTTTGTGGGTGGCAACTTATGGGGAGTTCTGATCTTCAGACATTTATGTGTTTTATAATCCAAGTGGAAGTACTGCCTAAAAATATTTTTATTGTATGGTTAAAACTTAATAAAATTTAAAGACTACATGATTGTAGATCATAATTATTAATAAATAATAATTTGCGATATGTTTTATCAACGAATATAACGTGTCTGTACAAAATAATGAGTGTCTTTTATGACTACAATAAATGAGGAAATTAAATACAACTGACGTCAGTGAAGTTAGTTAAAACATTTATAAATAATAATAATTTGGTACACAGTCACACACAGGTGCAGACAATCCAACAATCTGTAGTATTTTTTAAAAAGTCCAACTACTTTTCACATGATCCAAACATGCTATATTGTTGACTATCGAGGAAGGAGAAGTGACGTGATAATATTATCTATTATATAAAAAAAAATTGCGATATTCTTCATAATTATTTTATATTATCGCTTCTCTTATAAAACATAAACAATAACTTTAAATTGAAAAAGTACAAAACTGTTAACAAATGTATCGATACAGAACGAAAAGAAAATTTTAATCGTTATGTATTGATCCCACGTGGCTTTAACGGAACTTCGCGATTCAGTTTTAGAAATTTATATGTTCATTGTTTGTGTGTACGTGAAGTATGGGACTGTTCGTTTGTTTGTATGTATGTATGTGTAGTGTGTAGTTTGTAGTTCATCAAACGAGCACAGACACATTATATAAACAATGAGACGACAGTCTGAAACAATGGGTGTTAAGCTCGCGCTGTTGTCAAACAACAGGAGTACCCTCATAAGTTTTAGAATATGAAAGGGTTGTCTCGTTACTGACTTCAAAGTAATGATGACGACGAAATTATCTTACGCGAGGAGAGAGCTCTCATCACACACACTGCTCATTACGTTTTGCTGATTTGGCGAAGTCAACCTTTCATGTGACTCTGTACGAATAAAGACAGGCTCAAGAAAATTACAAAATCACACAACAATTAAAACGTTTCTTTATAAATTTAATTTTAGATATATTTTTTATCATTCCTATAACGTTTTATTTATTAAAACGTTTATTTCTATTCTCAACTTATTGATAATTACTTTGTTTTCTAATATTTTCCACCATATCCCTCTATATTCTTTTTGAGACACGATCACAATTTCCTGAAGTATAGTAAATAGAGAAGAGGCCCGCATCAACAAACAAGGCCGTTGTTTATAGTGAACAATTCAAACTACGTGCGACTACCGCTGCTGGTGGATGTTTTTCTCTTTACTTGGGATCACGGACAACACACGAAACAGATACTCTGGCTACGGAAATAATGAGGTTACACCTGACATTCACACATACTATAGTCAGTTAGGCTTAAGCTGAGCTTTGCATTTGTGTGAGTGAAATTAAAAGTAGAGTTAGACAAAAGAACTTTTAGAATTAAATTTTATTATATTTTAATTAGATACATAACACAAGTGCTATAAAATACTCAAAACTTGTAAAAGGCCAGATGGAAATATTATGAATATTAAAAAAAAATATTGATTTTATTTAAAAAAATATTGATTGATTTGAACGTTGCATTCAAAAATTTGTCATCACACCTACACTATCCGTGTGCACTCACACAAATGCAAAGCTCAGCTTAAATCAAACGCACTATACCTGCCTTACTGAAGATATAGAAGAGCTTCCATTTTCTATATATATTATATATTACCATAATTTCTCCCGATAGCACAAAACCAGCCAGCCATATTTTCCTCTACAGGCACTCTTGTAGAAGATATTTCCTAAAGTAAAAAGTATCAAATAAACTTAAACAAAATTTTGGCCCACCAAATTACTTCTAGTTAATAAACGATAAACATTGAGAAGTTTTAAAAACAGTCGACCTTCAATTTATCTGAAACAAAACATTTATAAAATTTTGTAAAATGAATTAAAACTGAAAACATCGGCATCTGAATGACAACCAACTGTTAAAGCCGCAATTTAATTTTCATTTCAGTGTTATCATCGAACAACTTGTTGTTTCAAACTCACATCAACTGCTTTAGTAATTATTGTTTGCTTTTCTTACTCATCATTCTTTTTAAAATGCTCTTAAATGAATCATCATCTTGAGCAGTAATAAAGAACCATCGTAATGAAGGTCAGTACATTAATGACAGTATACATTGAACTACACAACTATAGAGAGGTCATAAATATTAAGAACAGTAAAGTTGGAAAACTACATCAAGTATAAGATAAACTTTAAATATTAAACTATCAGGAGCCAGTCACCACACTTACAATACATTCTGTATCAACAATCTTTTGACACGAAATCGAATATTCGGAAGGCGTGCAGTTCGATTCACAATATTGAAGTACATGTGTCTTGTCACTCTGGAATACTTTAAAATATATGTAGTACAAGAAAACGCGAACGAATACTACCAAAACTTGTTACATTTATTGTGGCTTACATCCATTTTGATTGAAGTCTTTTGTATATTTTATCACATAAAACCCAGTGAGGTCACTCGGATGTGTGTAAGTATATTTAAGTTTTTATATATTTTTATAACAGTTTATAATCTCTGTCCGCGCGACGTTCGAGTACATCCAATCCGTGTATAAAGCACGTAAGTCCGGGCGTCTGGAGCGGCGCCAGCGAGTTAAGGAGCAGTGCTCACCTTCATCCCTCTATCTACATTACAACAGTCTTTATAAAAGTTTTATTAACTCCAATAAGCTAAGCCATTGTTCGTGGAGAGCCCCCACTTAATACAACCGACTGGTCGTTATTTTCAAACCTGCTCTAGGAGCTTTAAACTGAATTCACTTACTAGATAACTTCTGGGAGTCGATTTTAAATGTACTAAATAACAAGCTGTACTTATAGTTGTAAATATATACATGAATGTGTTTTATATAGGAGAGGAATCAATTTTCTATGTTAAGACAATAATCACAGTTCCTCTGTTAAGAGAGATTTTAGTCAATTAAAAGTTAAATTTTGCAAAAAAATATATATAAAGTGACATACATAAACCCACTCATCTTAATAATTTTATATAGAAAAGGAATAAAATGCAAACAAAAGTGTAAAGTGAAGAGTTAATGAGAGACGTAAGAACAGAACAGAGTGGATTAAGAATTTTAATTCGTCCGTCTCTGAACGTTCATATAACGAAGAGCACACATAACAGAGACGACTCCGAGCAAGGGCCGCGGCCGCTCACACTCTGTACTACATTGATGTAATTTTATAACATTTTATTTGAATTCAGAAGATTCTGAACAACTCTATGTTGCTAGCATATTGTTTTTACTAAAAATTAATCGCATGTAAAACAAAGCTGCTTTGTATTATCAAATATTTTTTATAGGCAAATATGAATTATAAAAATATAAATTATAAAAGAAGAAAACAATTTGGTTCAGTGTTGTAGAATATCTGTGACTCGTTCATCAATGTACTCGGAACACGAGTAATGCTTGTTTGTTGTAAGTATATCTTGTAATTTTCAGTAGTTACTATATATACTACTTTAATTGTAAAGTAGTATATATTGTAATTTTCATTAATATTAATTAAAATAATAGTGATTTCTTTAATATTTTGTAAATACGTTTAAAAAATTTATTTTAATATCATTTATGTATATTTTCTCTGATAATGATTGCAGTAATTATTATTTGAATATTATAACCAAACTATTTCTGTAGCTGGAACCACTTCTCATAACTCGTTGACATACGAACGATATAACGTAAACCAAGTCCATACAAACTCAGATCAATGAATGAATGTATTAAACTCTTTTATTTATACTCTCTGTTCTGTTCCTCGTGTCGGAGTGATCGCTCTATTAACGAGTACATTCAAAGCCAATATACATTAAGAGTCATCTCAAGTGTCCGACCCTTACTCTCAACTCTTACTGTTTCATATAACATTAACTTGTTTCCTAAGAGTTCCTCGGTGCAGACTGAACGCTCTCCAGAGTTTTCATCAATTTTAAATGTTTTTCTTCTACAATATTTATATTTCCCTAACTAAGTAATATTCATTGAAGGCTGGTTATGTTATTGTTAAATATGCTTAAATTATTCTGTTCTTCTATTTTAGCAAAGCGAAAAATTATAATATTATTAAAATATTGAGATTTAAAAAAAATCTGTCAAGATACGATTAATACAACCAATGGAAGCCCAAGACCTCTTACTATTAACAAAACTCATCTAACTCATCTATATCAAATCTTTTAGTATTTTCTTACTATATTGTTTTCATTATAAAATCCAACAATATATACATTTATAGTCAGTCAGTGGGTCAGAGATGTTTCCCTGGTTCCCGCGGGAACAGTTCAACATTCAATATGTATAAAGAGTTCGCCGCTAACATTCACTTATGATCAATCAACCGCATTATACTATTACAGGCAATATTTTAATATCAATATATTACAGTGTTCAGTTGTAGCGAGCTTCATGAATCGTAAGTTAGTAAATTGCATGCAACGATGTAACATTTATTTTTCATAGTCGGAGGTACGTAAGGACAGACTGAAATGTTGTATGATACTTTTATTAATAGCACAGTACCAAAAACTACGTCGTCATTTACACTTATACTATAAAATCAAGAGTAAAAGTTATTAGAATATATGAGTAATATATGAAAGATTTTTTTTTTAATTTCAATAAACTATATAAGTATGGATAACAGTTTGTAGTTGATGCTACTTCAGACAGAAATACATAGTTACAACACTAATCAGTATAAAGGTATGCCACCTGTCACAATAACTATTAATGTTTGTATATTTTTTTTGTCAGTTATATTATTTGTAAGCCAATAAATATATAAAATCAGAATACGTCGCGGGTGGATATGGACTGGGCCCCGAGGGAAATCTAGCCGCAGCAGCGCATTACGAGACGGAGGTAGGGAGTGGGGGGAGGAGAGTAGGAGGAGGGAGGCAGGGAGGCAGGGGGAGGGATAGTGAAATAAAACCTCAAGTTTACAAGGCGTTTGATCACCTGGAATATGTTGATGCCGAACTTTGTTGCAAGGAAAGACTTTAAATATTAACATCGCTGTGACCTACGCTGTTTGTCTTTCAAATAAATATGATTTATACTTACATACAGTCATACATAGCTCAGTATATAATGTGTTTAAAAGTTTCACTGTACAAGTATCGTACAACAAGCTATTACCGCAGCAACTATCTAACAAGGTGGAGAGCGGCGCGGCGCCCGGACCAGTCGAGACTAAAGACGGAACTACGAGACGACTTCATTAACATATTCAGAGAAACCATTTGGCTTCGTTAGTCCTCATTAAATAATACAACTTGCTCCACTACACCCAAATTAATTTCTCAGTTCATACTATACGAATATTCTTCTACCTGGCAATTTCCCATCTATAGCCAGGGTCTGCCTTACATGTTGTGAATATTTTTGGCTAATTGTTTTTACGACCAACCACCTGCCTGACATCAACCCTCTTTTGGGAATACATTAATCAGTGATGTCTAAATACTCTTACAAATTACATATAACTCGGAAAAATCACATTGGTACTTGCGCGGGCCAGGATCGAACCCGCGTCCTCTAGCATGAGAGGCAGGCGTTTTAACCACTAGGCTACCACTGACTTAATACCATACGAATATTATTATATCATTATTGACAATTGGCTTATATTTTTACTTATAATAAAAGAGATTATAGAATTCTATTTAGAACAGAACCATGGCATTCAATATTTGATTATACACACAAATATAAGTGAAATTGATTAATATTAAGAACAATAACATATCTTAGTGGCCCAAAAAAATGTCTCCAAACTGACTGATTTAGTCGCCTCAAATAAATATATTTTATTGTTATAAAGTTACTTACTACCAAAGAATTAAATTTTATCTGATGCTGTAATTCGCACCAACTCATATAACAGTCAATACACATAAAACCCACTCAACACTGAAATACAAACTGTGTGAACGTGTTCCCGACGACAACACTTTAATTTATTCAAACGGTTTCATGATAAAACTGTATTTATAATTTTAAAAAACGTAATACTAATTAAATTATCTCACACAACTGCTCTTGTTCTTTCTTGTTCTCAAAACTAGGGAAACCTCTTGGTCATCTCGGGAGGTTCCTACGTATTAAAGTGTTATCAAGAGACTTCATTTATTTTACTGCGACATTTCAAGAAATAACATTTATAGAAACATAGTAAATTTAACAAATTTTAAGCCTCTTTGGAAAATATATAAAATTTTCAACGTTCGTTATTATAGTAAATGCGGATACTGAAAAAATATAATCAATAGTAGTAAAGAAGCAAATTACAATAAAAAAATTATAATGTAAAAAAATGTTTATTTCAAATAGATAAAACCTAAACAGCGAGCTTCATAGACTGTGAAAGTAGTTGTTGAGTCGTCGTGTTCTGTATAACGAGGTTGTTCTGTTCGCAGCTCAGCAGCTCAATGAAAAGTTACAGACAAAACTGAGGCGATGTTATTAAATGTTGGATGAAACATGGTGAGTGAGGCAGCACCAGGCACCAGGCAGCAGGCAGGTACAGGAAGGAGTTCCCAACAAACTAAACAACAAACACCACACCGGCGCCGCGAGGACACAGTTACTAACTACAGCCACAGTTATGTACGACTCGCCTACCGACAAACTCATTTATACATTCAACATTCACTGTACATTTGTAACTACTATTAGAACATTCATAATCTACTCGTATTTATTTACAACACTCAGAAATCATAAAAATAAGATAATATAAAACAATTTCTGTTTTAAAAGAACCAACACGGTTCAGAGATGTCTTTAAATTTCTTTTGAACTTATTTAATTGACCATCAACAATATTCCTTTACTTCATAGACGGTGTCATTCTTAAGAATATGAAAATGTTTAATTTTAATATAAGCGTAGTGATGTAGTGAAAATGGAAAGCAATGAAATAAAAAAACGAATCTAAATTGGAATATTATTATTCCTCTTACTATCTTGATAATTATATTAGTAGACAGAAGACATTCAATAAATAAGATATATTTAAAATTAAGAATTTCAGATAGAACCATACCTCAAAGTTAGATGAGATTTGACACAGAAAGTGATCGTTATAAAAGTTTCAATATCTATAATTATTATCAATTCTGATGTTCCCGGAAACATATTTTGTCAGGGATGTTGCATCTTATACTGTACAAAAAATTATGTGCTACTCTTACAATCGTTGTTAAACAGAAACATATACGTAATGAATGTTAAAAAGTCAACACGAGCGAGAATATAAACGTGAAATATGTATCGCGTTGAAGATTGTGTTAAAAATGTAAAGCTTTATGTGAACTTAATCTGATTACTGCTCTAATAAGATTACTACTAACAAAGAAAACACAACAGACGGCTCACTACTAACATCATACATGTGTATAGGTATGTGTGTGTGTGTGTGAGTAGGTAGGTAGTGTATATACAGACGCATTATCATTCTGATGGAGGAAAATCCTATTTACAGAATATTATTTTATTTGTTTCTAGATTCTTGAAAAAACAAAGCCATAATAAAAACTTCTAATCTACTTAAAGTATATAAAGGAAAGATACTTGAGAGCCAAAGAAAAGTTCTTGTAAGCGTCTCACTCAATTGAAGTCGAATGACCTTAGTTTGTGAATACATATATATATATATATCAATCATAATCATAATGAAGAATCCGTGGACGATTACAGTATGGTGGTTTATGTTAGTACATGTTTCAACAACGAGATAGCTTGGGAAGGTTAAATAAATTGATAATAATTAGAAGTCATCCATAACACACGTAATATTTACAAACGTAATCACAGCGAATGTAATTTGTAATAAGAAATATCTCAGTAACATGAAAAGGAGACACATAGACAATATAAATTAGAGAATGTTCAAGTAGTATTCAAAGTTTATAACACTACGTCTACACTCACACATTGATGATCATATCCTGTTACTTACAATACAAATGTTGTTCAACCAATAAAGTAACAAGAAAACTCACACGTGATTATATAAAAGATAGTTTGTTTATAATATTATCATTAGTCTGATAAATAACAAAGTATGTGTGTGCTGTTTGTTTCAACATGTAAGTATGTATTGTAAGGTCGTCATCTCTAAAACATTAAACATAACGTCCATTCAAAGACCGGAACCTTACAATCGATTTTGATTAGAATTTTTTATTGTCTCTACACGACTTTCCAATTTCAAGGAACATTGTCGACTCATCGAAAAACTTATTTGGCACAGACTCAAGTCCTGTTCACAGAATTTAATTTTAAATTCTCTTTTCCTCTTGTTTTTGTAAAAACGGTGCTTCGATAGAATTAAATTACTTTTACACATTTTAACGATACGATTCAATCTTACGATATTTTTTGGCGTTCCTTGAATATAACAATCACCTTGACCAAATAAGACAGAAACATTTTAATCTACAATGTATTCTACACTACAATACATGTAATACATTCTAGAATGTATTCGCACGCCATCCACGTGTAGGTTCGTTGTGTCCAAACAGAATGCCTGAGATTCAGAACACAAACAAGGCCACTTTATTTAAGTTCCACGTAAAATATCCCACGTGTTTCAAATTCTGGCCGCGACACGCCCACTTGGAGATAAGCGCTGGCGTGTCTGTGAGCCGCGAGCCGCACAATATGTCACGCAGGGGATGACTCCTGCCATGGGAATCTAGCTCTTATAGCGATCACATAAAGCCTCGTCTTGACTGAAAGTTTACTCACTATCGCCGAGACTTAATTCGATGCTTGTCTTTAAACTATTTTGAGCAAAAATAATAAATCTACCCTTCTCATTTCTTATCAAGATTCTTATAGGCTTAGTAGGAAATCGGTTGAACGCGATCCCCGTATCCCGTGTAACGTATTGCCAGCCGCAGCATGAGTTATAATTGTATTAAGGTACACAACTATTAATTACTCTGATAGAGGGAGGCGGAGGTCTTAGCTGGATGTGGCTCAATACACGATTATACTGAACGTGTAGTGTAGTGTAACCTGCGACATTAATATATTGTGTGAGGAGATGTTTGTAACGAGACGATCACTAATACTGTGAGATCACCAGCTTAGAACATTCCTTACTGACAATTTATTATCTCCATTAAAAATAACAAAAAACAAAATGGGAGAAGTTTATATCGATAAACGTTAATATATAATATATAAATTATTTTCTAAAGTTATAATAATGTTTAGTTCTAAGCATGTCACATACACAATCGTTTGCCCGTACACATAACTAATAATAAAATTTTTAAAAGAAATATTGATAATTCGTTTATTTAACTTTGTCACAAGTATCGAGTAAAATAAAGGATAAGTTATAAATAATAGATACTTTATCCTCAAACACAACAACAACGAATCAAGAAAGATCTCAATTTGATCAGCGTTATGTATATATACAGAAAAAGGACGTAATAATTATTTAAACAAATACTTTTCCTATCCTTACCGAAATCTTTTTGTAATGTTTAAAATGCGAAAGTAATATAGTCTTATTGCTATACAATACTGTATTTATCGTATGTTGTACCTTACATCACATCTGAAAGGAATCATGAATTGTAATTCTAATTGTGTAACAGAATATATTTTTAAGCAACATGGACAGTAATTAAGTCGTGTTATTTTTCACAGTTCCTAGCCAATGCTTCTATACTCGTGTTAGATGTTAGTAATCGTCAGAGTTCTAAGAGCTAATGAATCTTTTCAGTGCCAGTCGATGTGTGTTTAATGTTAAAGCGACGACCAATTTGGTTTCATTCAGTGGTGTCAGCGGTTCGTTTGTAGGACCGGCACCGATCAGTACCGAGTAGCGCCGAGCCTCCACCTAGCAAATTACCTTCGATTCAATCTCTAGTTCTGGTGCGGTCCATCGAAATTAATTCTTGGAATTCATAAATTATTTTGTTGAACTAATATTTGAGAGTAGTCATAATATTTTACTTTTTAGATACCTTTCAATATGTGTTATTAATACGACTAAACTCAGGGAATATAAGGTTCTTGAAAGAATAAATCCAAATAATTTTAATATAAAATATTTATTCTCCCTTCCTTCTTCTCCTCGTCTCCTCTCTCCTTTAGTTTCTGTACATCAGTTATCTTTTATAAAAATCCATCGTCACTTCTCTTTATGAATACGAGTTTAATTTACATCTACGTACAAAATCGTCCTCAACGCTTCCAGTATAAACAACTCAAATTATTTTATACATTCCATTTATGTTTAATATTATTTGAAAATAATAAGTTTATATAAAATAAAAAATTAGTATACTCTATAATGAAAAACCATTTAAAAAAACTTACTACAATGTTTAAATCATCAAACAAATGACTTTGAAATATAATATATAAGTACAAGAATATCACAAAATGACTTAGAAAATGATTATTATTACTCGTTGTTAGTACAGACATTGTACAATAAAACATAAAGAATCATTAAGACCGTAGATAATATTTACAAACAATTAAAAATATTATATTTACAGTGAATATAGTTATCTATCATTAATCCTAATTAAGTCTAAAAATAACTATTTACAAAATAAAATAACCTGTACTTTTTAGAATCACATTGTTAAAGTTCAATTCGGTTCTATACTTTTTCACACACTCATTTAAACACATTGTCTAAGCATTTACTCGATGAAATATTGTGTAATCACTTCAGTCACAAACTTTACTAACTAAGAGAATACACCGTCATCACCAATAAAAACATATAATAGAAGACATGAGGACACGCGAGCGTCCAGGAGCGACTGGAGAGGGCGCTGGCGTGACACTCGGCGTCATCAGCGTTGAGGGCGAGCAGGGAGCGGGGCCCGGACGGAGTGAGGCAGGTGGAGTGGCGGGCCGCGGCACGAGCTCGACGGGAGCCGCCGCCCACCTCGCTCGACCAGCGACGCAACCAACCACCCACCCAGGACGACGAGCAGCCGCAGCGGAGAGGATTACCACCCAGCAGAAGACCACCTGACGAAAGAACACCTTTAGAGTCCCCTTAATAGACTAACAGACAGTTGAATCCTTAATTACACATACTTACCGGGCAATACTTTTGTAGCGTAACGATTCCACCCAGTGAGATTTGGATAGAGAACCGACGGACCAAAACTAACTAACTGATTGTCAGTTAAATCGAGTGCGAGGTGCGGTACTCGTACCAACGGCAGTATGAGCCCTGCAGGCAGCTCCGATACTGATGAACCAGTCAGACGCAAAGTCAGCGCTCGTTGCTTACCGAGGGCAGAGAATGCATCTGCAGTTACACTCCTTATTGAAGCACCCCGCACTTCTAATGATCTTAGTTTTGGGGCGACCAATCCTAGAAATTGAGTATCCACGATTTCTTTATGTACGTGGATGGCTAACACTTCTATATTAGGTGATGAAGATATGATTTCTGTTATGGGAACAGCCCTCCCCTCGCCAGCAGGCGTCTCTAAAGTAAGGGACCTGAGGGATATCAAAGCGCGAAAAGCTCGAGGTTCTAGTGTTTCCAAATACTTTAAGTCATCCATCTTGAGATACAGAAGTCTTTGTAACCCCTCAAACAAGCCATGTTGAATTCGAACTATTGGATTTCTGGACACATCGAGTGACAACAACTTTGGTACAGCTGCCCACATAGCAGGACGAAGTGTTGTAAATTTATTTCCTGCAATATCTAACGCTCTTAAATTTTGAAAATGCTTCATGTCGACCTCACTGTATGATGTTATGTAATTGTTGCCCAGGTTCAATTCCGTGAGATTAGCAAGGGGAATATGAGGAGCAGTTTTTAATCCTGTATTAGCTAAAGATAATCGCCGCAAACGAGGCACGTTATGAAATAATTCTTTGAAATTGGTTTTTATCGCATTAAACGACAGATCAAGTCTGCGTAATCTCGGCAATCCAGCTAGAGTGTTATCTGACAAGACAGTTAAAGCGTTCTGCGCTAAGCCAAGTTCATGTAAGAAAGCTGTCGCGTGGAACATAGCGGCGTCGAGATATTCTATTTTATTTTTTGATAATTCAAGACGACGTAAAGTGAAACCAACTTGGGCCAGTGCACTGCTCGGGAACAAAGACAACTGGTTGTTACTTAAATCTAAGTATTCAAGTAAAGTATTCTTAAACACGTCCCGAGGTAGAGCTCGTAACCTGTTCCCTTCTAATCTTAACAGTCTCAACCAGGGAAGGCTGTGGAACTGTTCTACAGATAATTGAGAAATTTTGTTTTTTGACAAATCTAATATTTGAAGTGAAGGCATTTCCGAAAATGCTCGTCTCTTAATTACGCTTATATTATTTTTTTGTAAACTTAAAATATTTAAATTTATCAAATATCCAAAAGCTACATTGTCTATGGCATAAATTTTATTATTAGATAAAAATAATTGTCGTATATGTTCCCCGAGAGAATTAAAAAAGTCCCGCGGTAAAGTTTCTAACTCATTATATGACAGATCCAAGACATTGATGTATACGGACGAGCCCCCGCGAAGAATCTTTATATTATTATAACTGACGTTTACTGCAAAATTGGAATTATAATTTGATATATTTACAAAGTAACTTAATGAAAATATCGCCAAATTATTTTCTTGCAGATCCAACACTTCTATCTTTGGCAACTCAACGAAAGCTTCATCTCTAACTGATTCTATTAGATTCCCGGCTAAATTTAAGTATACTAAGTTTCGTAAATTAACAAACGTTTTTTCGCTAATATTTTGCATACGATTATATGATAAATCTATACTCTGCAGTTCTGTAAAATTCTCAAGAAAGTCTGAGCCAACCTTATGTATGTAATTATAGGAGAGTCTCAACTCCTTCAACTTACTGGATCCTCGAGTGTTTCCCAAATCGCTGGGGAATACAATTATCTTGTTAAAATCTAAATTTAGATATTCTAAAGAGGGAAACTGAAGAATGTCTTCGGACGACATATAATGAATATTGTTATTGTCTAGACCGAGCCACGTCAAAGTTCTCAGACCAGAACCCGTTGAAATGTCACCACTAAATACAGCAGAAGATAATTCTAAAATTCTTAACTGTGTTAAATTTGAAAACACGCCAGCTTCAATATAATACAAGTCATTAAAACTAAGTACAAGTTCACGGAGCGGCAAGGGTGGGAAGGAATCGAGCAGCAGCTGGGCGATCCTGTTTCCTCGGAGACCAAGAGTTGTGAGGGCTTTAGACCATACACCGAAATTATCAGAAGACACGAAGGAAATTCTATTGTAGCCGAGATCTAAATAAGACAGAGTCGCTACACTTAAATTTTGAAGAGCACTTGGAAATGAATTTAAATAATTTCCGGATAATGATAAGGAATGTAGCTTTGGTGGTAAGTGTTTGATGTCTTCCAAACGGTTGTATGTTACAGACAGATGTCGTAGTCGGTTCATCTCTCTTAAAGAATCTGGTAATAATGTTAATTCATTATGGTCCAAATCGAGTCTCTGTAAACTATGTTTAAGACCATGAACTATGGTGTCTGATATATATTGTAAGTTATTGTAGGAAATGGATAATTTTTCTAACCGACCACATTCAAGAACAAACGGTGGAACAGCAGTAAAGTCATTGAGGTCTAAAACCAATTGCTTCAGTTGAATACTATGATGAAAGTCAAAGTTAAAACTGTCACTAAGTTCATTGTGACTAAGATCAAGTGAATCAATTTTTGATCGCTCGCTGCGGCATGTTATATTAGACTTTGGTTGAAGAATATTATTTCTTAAATGGAGGTGACGGAGACGGGGAAGGTGAATTAATGCTCTGCAAGGAAGCTCCGAAAGTAAATTATCGGAAAGGCGTAGAATAGCCAGAGAGATGGGGAGAGCTTCGGCGTCCAGATGTCTAAGCCTGTTGCCGTCAAGCTCTAACTGAGTTAAATGACGGAGCGAAGAAAATACGCCCTGGCTAATAACACAGATATGATTGTTACTTAGCGATAAGCTACTCAGAGAGTCGGTGAGGCCGCCCCAGTCCATCATAGGGTTTAAATCGCTTATGAAATTGCTGAAACAAATAAAAAAGTATTGATAATGTATTCAATCGCATTATGCAAATTTACACAAAACTATGGTAATTATTATAAAACCAAATAAATATCATACTTTTGTAAATTTAGCCAATTCAAAACTTTCAAATGTCGCAACGCCTCTATTGGAACCTCCGTGAACTCGTTGTAACTCATATCTAAAGACGCGAGCGACGTGACCATGGAGCTGTAATGAAATTAAGAAAACTTTGACTAAGAGTTAAGAGTAAGAGAACAACTTTATACAATTATTAGGTGAGTGTACAAACGCTAGCGCGGCGCTGTCGACTTGATGCAGACGCGAGGCGACCAGCACCAGTGTACGAAGAGGCCGACCGTCCAGAGCAGCCTCCCCCAGCACGCCGAGACGAGCAGCGGACATTGACACGTGGAGTACACCCGGCTCTACAGTGAACGTTAATATGTACTTTGAGAGAACCGCTGACGAAAGCATTTGTTTTTTATGATATAAAGAAAATTACCGGTCTCTGGAAATCTGTGAAAGGGCACCGCGTCGCACGCGAAGTGATCGTCGCGGCACACGCAAAGCGGACTGGCGGCACAGGGACGAGGTGCTCGAGCTGGTGCTGACACCAGCAGCACTAACAGAGCAGCACACTGCAGCTGTGCTGCTCGACGGACAGGTGTGATGAAGTATAAGAGAGTTAGGAAGCGAAACAACGCGGCACTCGAGGCGAAGCAGAGCCTCGGACGACATGATGCACGCATCGCACCACACGCCCGCACACACACCTGGAACAATAATAACATATAGGAAGGAAGCAGGAGACTCATCAAGAATTATAAATATACTCATAATATTGAAAGCAATCTAACACATAATGAATATGAATATAGTAAAACCTCTTTATTGGCGGTGAGTTACATAACATGAGCTTGTATTTTCAGGTACACATTAAATAACTAGTCAGTGAAACTTTAAAGGTTGATATGTTACGGTGGCTTAAAAACCTTCTTTCGATGACTAGTGGAATTACAGGGACGCATTGTCCTCTTTTCATTTATAATTTTATTCGAGGATATTCTTAAAAAGCATAAAATACTTCAGTCTTTATCAGAACCTTGTATCTCGAATAACTTATTAAGGATAAAACGACCTCGTAATCTGGAATCACTTTTTACGATCATACCTACATACGCACCCTAAACTGTTAGTGGGCACATCGAGAGAATAAAAATAATGTTTTCAAAGCTAATTTGTTCAAATAATTAAATTTATGTAAATAAATATAAAGATCTTTAAAAATCATCTACTCCAATACGGGCGCGTAGCTTAATTAGTAAGGTGTAAGTGTTATTACTATATGTAATAGGTACTCTATATAATATGAGGATTCATACAGCGGTATACACAGACTTGTGATATAATAAATATTTAGAGAGAAAGTGTATGAATTGAGACAAACTTAATAATTTTAAATCCTTGTTATTTACATTATAATTATAATTAAAACTGAATCACGGACGACGCTTTAACTTTTATTAAATTAGGAAACGTCTGTAGTTTATAAGTTTTTTGAAACTAATATCAATTATATTTATTTCTTTGTACGAGTACACACAGTACGGTATTTTATGTAAAATAAAAGGCCACAATGTGTCTCATATTGTGAGAGGGATGAAAGTAAATTACCTTTCGGTGGCTGTTCTCGTAATACATAATACATTCACGAATAAAAAAGTAATAATTTAAAACAACGGCACCCTATCACATAAAATCCAATGAGGCGACTCATTCCGCTTGCTCCGGCTCCGGCCTCGAACCGAACCGAACCGAGCCGAGCCGAGAGTCGAGCCGAGCTTACGATCATAAAAATTATATGAATTTTCGTATATAGTCCTCTTTTACATTCGCAGAGCGGGCATTGTGAGACACGAGGCTGTATAAATAATACTCGGCTTAGTTGAATTTGAACGAGACGGACCCGCTACAACAGGCCCGCATACACTTAACATAAATGACACTTTTGTGTTTCAAATGAGATAATTATAAGTGTCGCTTCTGTTACAAACAAAATATCTGTACCGTCTGTGAGCTCTAGTTTGATAATTATATTGTTTGTATATTAAGTTAGAGAACGTTCCAGTTCAGCTACCAACTAATTCAGATGCTTCCTAATGTAGAACATTCTGATGTTCAGTATTCCGTCTGTTACACTGAAAAGTACTTTTGTTTCAATTCCCTTTATGTTTATTAAGATGGTAGGGTGTCAGTGTGAAGTATATCAGGTCAGGGAAGGCTCGTGGACCGTATATTAACCAACACACACACAGACACAGACCTCTTACTGTCGTACATCGTTTTATAAAATAATTTATCATTAAATTTGTGCAAAAGTTTTATACAACCTTAGATACTATAAAGATTTCCTGAATTTTAACTTCTTACTTTTATATATTGGATCTCCAAATAGTTTAAAATAATTTACAATAAAAGATTGTTTAAAGTATTGGTAGGAAAATAGTAAAAGTTGTATTTTTTTAAATGAAACTAATATTTTTTAGTTTCTGAAAATTAACAGAAACGTCAGGAGTATATCCGAAAAATATATGTTTCATTTAAATGAATAAAGTCGCAAGTCGCCTTAGATCCCATAATTACATATATATTTTGTTTGTATATATTATGTACGTATAGAATATTCATACGATATGGATTGAATTCTTTATTTCGATACTTAAATGTAAAGCTGGTTCTATTAACTGTGAAATATCATGTTGAGTTTTAATTTCGGGGATCATCGAGCGTGAGCCGACTCGAGGGAACATTGATTGTATGACTTACTGCTTATCACTTGATATGAATGAGGTTGTTGTACTTTGACAACACACGCACATACTATGAAAAAATATAAACACTAGTAATATGAACCAATGAAATCGACTTTAATTACATTTGACCAGTAAAACATTTATATATATATATATAAATATAAATTTACATATAGTATCAGTTCCGTCTAGTCTCTCGTTTCCTCCGCAGAGCGACTGCAGTACACTGAGTCTTGATTCATTGCAGTCATCTAACACTACACTACACTACACTATGTTCTCGACATCATTTTAAACGTTCACAAATTATAGACTTTTAACATTAGAAAACTTTGCTTTGTTTACTTTCCTTTCTTTAACATAGTCCCGACTAACTGTAATAGAAAATTACTGAATATATGAAGAAAAATATTAATGTAATGGATACAAACACAAAGTATGAATAATAATAAAGTGACGAGAACACGAGGAGGAGAGAATTGTTAGCTAATAAAATGTATTAGACAATATGTGAGTCACATGATAATTATAAATATGTATTTAATGATCGCTCGCCGTGGTGGGTGATAATGGGAATTTTGATCATTGTTTTTACATCTTCTAGGAACCGACTTTCAAATGAACTTCGGTCAAACAAACGAATCTTATTTTTATTGGAATGAAACAAACGTTTCCGTATCACAGCGAGTGGCCCGCCCGCGCCAGTCCGAGAAAGTTGTTAAGATTGGAGCCGCTCTGCCGGTATCCATATATAAACGGGTAATCCCCTGGGCAAGATACGCGACATACGAACGATGGGGAGTGAAGAGACGCTGTGGAGTGAGGAGGAGGCGACCCTGGGACCCTCTCCCTCCACCGCTAATAACTCCCGACGGATCACTCGCGCCACGGACCTCACAAGATTGCTGCGAACCGTTTCATGACAATTTTATATCTTCAGAATTTGAGGAGAAACTTGGTTTTGAGTAAAATTTTTTCCGCCTTTAATATATAAAGAGCTTGTTGGGTCTGATTACATGAATGAATAGAAACACATCAAATTATAATGAATTAATGGCTTTCCTACTAAGTAACTTTTTTAAAGTAAATAACTTGGAAAAGATATCAAAATATTGTGAATGTTGTACAAAACATTGACCGATCAAACAGAACGAAATCGCCTTAGGAAATATGTTTTCGTTATGAAACGTTTTGAAGTCAGTGTTTTTATATAAACAATAAATGATTATGAAACACACTCAGCGAATTATTATTATTCCTACAAGTAAATAAAGTTGATATGGATTCTGTAATTTTTTATAAGAATGAAATTTAACGGACGTTGATCAATGAACCAAAGACTGATTAACCTGATCTACTCACACATTGATTGTCTATAAATTCTGAATCATAAGAAACAATGAGTCCTTGTCCAAATAGAATTATTAAAGAAAGTATTCTTGATAAATTTAATTGAAGTATTAAGAAGAAACGAAGTAGGGTCGCTTCATTGAATTAGATAATATTAAGATTCTCACATTAATAAACATTATTCAAATATAAAGATCTCGGCGGTATACTGTTGTAACTTTTCACTTTAAGTGTAAAAAATGACATATTTCTTTTCATCTCCAAAGCCATTAGTTCTCTCCACTTCTCCGTGTAATGTAATGCACGCGGATTTAATTTCTGAAACGTTACTTGAAGCGCACATATTTTAACGTGTAAGTTGTTTACAAGCCAGCTTAAACAATTTGCTCTCTGCTTTACCGCGACATTACTTAGGAGCCAGGCGCGGTGAAGCTCGGGGCGGGAGGGGGTAGAGACGCGGGGGGGAGGGAGGTCATACAGCAGACGTAACATGAAAATAATAAATTATATAAAAAAACAATATTAAGTAGTGAAGACAGACACGGCCAGCTAGTGAGATGTAGAGTAAGAAATTAAAGTTTCTGTCTTATTAACAAATATTTGATTCTTGAATATTATTTTTTTATTTATCTTTCATATATTCTTTATGCTTTAATAAATAATAAAATAAAGATTGTAGATCAAATACGTAACAGATGAATCCGGAAATAGAGCGATGTAGCACTCATGGAAATTATTAGACATTAACAGCATCTTGTTTATAAATAATCTTATTATTTTCATTACGTCTGATCTTATAAGATGCGAGCGCCTCATTTAAAACGGGAATTGAATGAGCGATTAAAGTTATATAAATAATTTTATACAGTTTTTTTATTTTATACAATTCATTTGCAAATTTAAGCTATTTAGTCGTCCAGAGCCGCGATCAGTCCGCTTACAATAAACGTTGTGTGTGTGTGTGTGTGTGTGTGTGTGTGTGTGTGTGTGTGTGTGTGTGTGTGTGTACAACATCAACAGTCTGTGTCGACGTCACACATAACGATGTTAAAAGCCTGTAAAGCAATGTTACCGAATGTCCGCCGCCGACCGCCGAGCCGACACCGGGTAGTGTGTCGATGACCGCGGGGTTCATTAATACATGAGTCTCGACGGGTGATACACGTTGTATGTAGCGGCCTCCGACACGAGGAACGTACCGTGTGGACACTCTAACATGGACATCTAAATGATAGTTGTAAACATTTGGACCCTTTTAAGGACTCACTCAAAACAGTTCGTTATAAGTTTTTGTTCAGCGGTAAATTTAATAAATAATTAATTTTTACATAAACAAAATATAGGTAACGATCTAATTTTTAATGTAATGAACCACCTGTAATCTAATTTTTATATATAGAGATTTTAATAATTTTTACCAATAAGTTAATACGTTTTTAATATAATGTAATAAATGATTTATAAACTTCCTAATATTTGCATGCTGTATCTTCATTAAAAGATAATGCATTTAGAATTAAGCTACACTGTATTTCTTTTTACCCAATCTTGTATTAATGTAATTATCACTGGTGGATCTAAATAAATAAATAAATAAACATGTTTCTGATACAATAATAATATTCAAGTATATAAATGGTAGTGAGACCAACCTCCCAGGATAACAAATACACTTCAGAACATATATGTATGTAGTAGTAAAATAATAATCCAAATATAGTACATAATTACCGTGTTTTAATTATATTATACGAGGTTATATTTTAAAAGCAACACAACTTCAAATAAAACTATTTTAATACGTAATCACCTCTCCTCCCACACATTCCTCCACTTTGTGATCAAAATTGTTGCAGAATGTTCAGAGCGTCGAGTTTAAAAGGAAATATATAATATAAGCGAGAGATATCTCTGTGTTTAAACTGAAGCGTACGTTGAGTCGGCGCACGGAATTAGAGTATATTTATATACATATTACATTAAAATATAAAGTTTTTGAACAGATCGAAACCAGCTGAATGTGGGTCAGACAAAAATACAGCCGCGGAATGAAGAAGATTGGAGAAGGATAGCTTGGAGTAGATTATAGAGTGAAGCTCGCTCTGACGGACTGTCGAGTAGTACAAGAACATCTCCGAAATACACGATTATATACAATATATATTGAAGTAATGAATTCAGAGATGATTTTCTTAAATAAATCACTCGTAAGTTTATTTTATAATTTTACCCGCGACTTTTTCTTTTCGATCGAACAAAATTAAATATCCTACGTCCGTCTTCTGGTTCTAAGCCAAGTCCTCTCCAATTACCAACAATATCCGTTCTCTAGCTGTAAGTAGCGTAACTAACACACTTTCTTTTAAATATATCGATTATTATTAGTGAAGACCATCCGTGTGAACATGTTTCAATGTTGACACTCTCACACCAATGTGTTATTTGTTTTCGCACATAGAAGAACTAGTAGTTTGAAGGTTTTAAACATAAGAATTTTTTTTTTCTCTTAAGGAAAAAATGAACATGATTTTGTGAACCAACAACAAACACACGGACTAAGAGTGTAGTGTTGTTTGACGATAAAACAATAAGAAATATATATCATGAGTATAGAGTATGATGAATGAGAGGGATCATTAGAACATGGACAGTATAGAAAACAGACTGGATGCAAAAAGTAAACAAGAATGTATAAAATACAAAAACATTTATATGATCTCTGTTTGTCCGACCCTTGTTTATATTGATCGTTAGTTCTATAAAGATTACTTGAAGCTACCAAACATACATTAAGCGTGAGTCTGTGCGCCGACTATAGGTAACAACATATTTTGTTTCATAAGTGTTTTAATACAAAATATTAGTGACGTAACAAATATCATAGAAAAACACATTATCACGTGTTCCCTCTCGGAAGTTAAGTGTTCAAGGCGTCTCGATCATATTATTATACTCCTGAATCATTTTATGTAAGATCCCGACAGTCACTGTTCCTTTCAATACTAAGTTTATTATATATAGACTATCACGATACATATGATACACACACATACTATAAAGACTCTTAAAATTATCATATTATTCAATGTAAGATATCTTTTTTCAATTCATCAATGTTCGTATGTTTCTTTCGAATCCCTCGCCTCTATCATCAGTTATTGGTGATGATGAACGACTCGTTATGTGAACACGTGTGAGTGTAACACATTAAATATATTTTTATTTCACATTACAATAACTAATTATTGTTTATAACAGAAACAAAACTGAACCGACCTATAACATGTTGACTGTAATCAAAGTTAGCATTGAAACTTTTAACATGAAGTATACTGATAATAAATAATTAAATAAATAAATAAATAAATACTCACAACACGACGCACTACAGGTAACTTTTATATATAATGTTTATTAAAATATACTTCATTTATAATAATTTGAATCCGTGCATCTCACACTGACACGGAAATTCTGAGACTGGACAACAGACCACAGACATGAGTGAGGATCGGAGTAGAAAATTATGTAAATACTAAAGATAAATCATTGAATTTTATAAGAAAACTTTTCATTTAAATGTACCGTACATACATTATGTATCAAGCTTCCAAAAACATAGCGCTTTGAACTATTAATAATAAAGCAATTACAGAATACCACACGACCGACACCCCCCGAGAGAGGGTGTGTCGAGAGGGTGACGGGTGAGAGGGTGACGGGTGAGAGGGTGAGAGGGTGAGGGGTGGCTGTAATTATTTACAACTTCTTATAATTTTTTGACGGAAATTATAGCTTTGAATTATACAAATTATACACACCACGACAAGTTACAGCCGATAAAGTTATGTTCTTTAATTATACTATTATACGATGAACCTATTACGAGTCCCGAAAAAGGTTTAGGAGTTAAAGTTAATGACTCTGAGATGTGAATATTGAATATAAATATAAGTCATCACAGACGAGAGGCTGCGACACGAGTGGAGTTTAAAATGTGACTTAATCACCACTGAATAACGTACAAAAAGGTATTCGTGAGATTTTATCAGAATAATGTGATTCGAGTGTTTGCAGAATTATCAGAACTAGTTCATGATGAAAGTTAAAGAGATCTTCCTGTGGTGTTTAATGAAACATTCATGAAACTATTAAAAATTAACATCCAAAACACACACACAAGTACGTCTACTAAACCTAATAACAACACAAACAGTCTGTCTATGTGACCTCACACACTGGACACTACGTGACACATAGTGAGGATTATTATAACTTAAATAATAAAGATTATACAAAATTGTCAAAAGTAGATATATGTTTGAAAAGAAATGACAAGTGTTTAATATAGAGAATTTGTAGTTGATAATATTGAACAACCGCGACAGATGTCCAGCTAACTATTAGTTCAGTCCAAACTCTCTCACATTATTTTCTATATTCAATATAGTTCACGTCACTGTGGGAACAGTTCTGATAGCGAAGCGTCACGTCATACTATTAATCTACATCAGAACATGATGCGCTCTACGACGTACAGGAACGTAGATAACACGTAGACCCCACGTAGACCCCGCGTAGACCCCGCGTAGACAAGCCAAAGATAATATTAATGTACT